AAGAGAAGTGCATGCAATTAGAGACCGAGGCCAGAGGAGGATGAAGAAGTCTGTATAACTAGCTGCAGAAGCTGGAAACCTGGTGTTAAAATGTTAGAACTTTAATGTGTGCAAATTCTGTTTTCCACCGTAGGATAGCTTGAGCAGCTCAAATAGTTTGCTGTGCAATGCTGGAGCTGTTTGTGCTCTGTAAAGAGAACAGGAAAGGCTCTGAAGTATCACTGAAGGCTGTAGATTCAGTACCTTATCAACTTTGTCTAATATCCTTTCCTCTGTTTCCTCTCCAGGCTGGTACCCACGGCTCGTTTCTACCCCCTGCGCATGCACTGCATCCGTGCACTTACACTGTTGTCTGAAAACACCCAGACCTTCATCCCAGTCTTACCATTTATCCTGGAGGTTAGTCAGTTCCTATTGATCTAGCAACAGCTGATGCCTGACATCATGCTTGGGAGCAACAGCTCCCAAGGTTGCATGCTTTGCTCAGCTCTCTTAAAATCCCTGGCAAACACCGTCAGACCAAGTATTGTGTGGTTAGTAAATAGGATTAACTTTTACTAGCCTGGGAGGTAAGAGTATCTGAGATAGCTGGGTGCAAAAAAGGCATTTCTGTAACTCTCACAGTCTCAAGATCTCCTAAATGAAGATGAAGATCTTGCTGGGAAGAGGATGTTCATTCCAAGAGAACGCCACTGTTGAAAATGAATGCTGTACTGTCCTTAAATAGTCAGGGTTATTTCTCCCTTCACTGCCTCTCTCTTTCTTAGCCTTCAAGCTTACAGTGCTTAGAGTGGGCCTGAAAGGAGCTAGAGCTTTTGGGTAGAGTTTTTCATATTTTTCTTATGCATTTCTGTTGTTATCTGGCCTGGGACAAACTCTCACCTCTTTGCTCTTCCACTATGCTATGCTATTTTGCAGCAGGTGGAGGCTGAGGCTTCGTGCTTTTTGGCTTCACGTGTGGAAATAGGTTCACATTACAAAATGTAAGTGTGAGCTTTTTGGATTCCTCAAAACATGGAGTGTGGAAATAAAGTAGAATAACTTGAATTTGGAGCTCACCCTTGTCCCAGCCCTGACTTGTGGGGGAAAATGGGGTTGAAATGCCAGGAATTTAGTGTTAAATCAATTGCATTTTTGCATTAAGACTACATTTATTAGTTTATATGTAATTAGTAGGTGTTTTGATTAGTGATGAATCATTAAATACTCTTGGCAGATTAATAGGTGGTGTGTAGCTGTTCCGTAGTACTTGCGAACAACGTGCTTAAACCAGCTACAACACAACTCATGTGTGAGATGCGCACTTAACCTTTTTTGGGCTGTTTATGAGCATAACCGTGTGTTAGCATGAGCCTTGACAAAGCAAGGCCTCACACACTTAGTGATACTAGGTCCTGATCATATTGATTCTGAGGCAAAGAGCTCTTGTTACCTTCCTGTGTCTTAGAAGCAGGTGGGTGCAAGTACTGGATGGTTGATTAACCAGTGTGGCAACACTAGATGCTTCATGCAAATGCAGGACCAGAGCAGCAAAGGCCACGCTGGTCAAAAGAATTGAAATACCAGTATGTAGATGTGAAGTGGCAGCTTAACAAGGTACAGCTCAGCTGCCAGGGCTGCATAGAGGTACTCTGTCAGCCTGCTCTGCCTATAACACAGGTTGTGTTAGGACGAACCTTGAGAAAGATGGTTTACTCCTTTGGCAGCTGGAGTAGGCGAAGGACTTGCCAAAGAAGATTTGGGCGCTCAGCTGCTGCTTGTAACTCCCCAAGCTGTCACAACTTGCTCCTGTTAGTGTGTTCGTATATTAACCAGAAGGAGAAGAGTTTCCAACATCTGCAGACAAAGGGAGATGGAAGGAAAAGGCTCTTCAAGAATTAAGAATTCATTTTGGAAAAAGATTCCTGTGAGTGCACCTTGGCAAAATTCAGTGTGTCTTGTTGAAGACCAGTGCCTTGCATCTTCCCTTACAGCGATGCTAACAGACCATCCTGCCTCCTTACGTATCAGACTCCTAGCACATCTTTCCACATAGCTTTTTCTAGCCTTGCTGCCGCGAGGTGGTACAGTCAAGTTTCACTAGAGAGCAATGCTATCACAGGGAGCGGGAGGAGGAATGTAAAATCTACAGCAGGCCAGCACGAGGCTGGGTGTTGGGGGGGAGGAGTGAGGGAGACTGCCGTAATAAACGGCTTGAGCCAGCCAGGCTCGTTCCTAATCAGGTTCTGTTGAAGCAAAGGCTTTTGCGGTTTTATGTTGTTGTAAACGTCCTTCGCAAACCACATCCTCTGAATCTGTGGAAGCCTGCGATGTTTATAAATCTCCTGCCCGCCCGCCCGCCACTGCTGCCTGGCCCGTGTGGCTCTGCCTTTGCCTGCTTCCTTCCTCTTGTTCATTCATATCTGAAATTCTGCCAGCCAGATTTTGTGATAGAAGCATCTCCTTTCTGTTTGTGAGGTAGTGGGGCTTGGGGGAAGAGTGTTTTTTCTATGCTTTTTTTTATGCTCAGAGAGATAAAGCCTTTTCCCTTCAGAGAGCCTTCTCCCCCTTTTTGCGTTCTGACCCCCGACGCTTTGGCTGTAATCTGTGTATCGGGCCCCAGCCGGACGTTACCGCACCGCATGCTGAGCTTCCTCCCAGCTTCCGTAAGCCCCCAACCGCATCCGATTCTGCCGCGTGTGTCTGGGAGGCACTGCTTGGCTTCGCTTTTCCAGGTGACAGCAGAGAGATAGGGGACGGTGAACGTGTGCATGTGTGGTGTTCTCTTTGCATGTTCTTTCACATTACTTTAACAATTACACTGCTTTAACTTTTATAAACCAAGGAGACTGGGATGGAGTTAAACTCTGTAATCTGCCAGCAGCTGCCAGCCTTCCTCCTCTGCGAGGAATCCATCAAATCTATTCCCTGTGGAGTTTCCAGGAACATACAGGAGCTACTCCCTTTGCCCCTCTATCTCCTCCTACCTCCTCTGTTATGGATATATCTGAATATTCATACAACTCTCAGTATCTTTCTCTCCACAAGCTATCTTTGGGCAGGAGATGTTCCTGCAAGCGTGCAGATGGGACAGCGGGAAGCTTTAGCACATAGAGGGGAAGTGAGCTGCCCAAAGTGCCAAGGAGTCTGGGACTGCTGGCTGGGGAGGCCTCCTCGTGCCCAGCTCAGCGCTTTACCTCTGAGCTCCCTTTTACCAGTTCACAAATCCAGCAGTGACTTACTCGATAGACATGTAGTCCCATGTCACGCTGTGTTATGAAACAAAATCGGTTTTAAGCCCACTGTCCAAACCATCATGAGGCTGAGGGATCTGGTCAGTTTGTTGGTACTCGGCAGGAGTTAGCTTTAGGGGAGCGTGGAGGGGGGGAGCGGATCGAAGCCTTCGTTACCCAGCATGAGATGTGCTCCGTTTGCTATGAAGGAGGAAAGGCTGCCCAGTCAGTGTTGCCACTGTACCTAACTGTAGTAAAGGAGCAGCTCTAGAGTTTGTGACCCTATTTTTTTTTCATGTGCGTTACAGGCTGATTGTACAAAAGGAGGCTCTGGTGCCACTTGTGTTTTTTGGAGAGGGCATGGCCCTTCTGTAGTCTCGGAGAGTAGATTCTGTGAAGCTGCTTGTGTTAAGAGATGATGATGTAGCTCTGCTTCCCTTCCCCCTCTCTGCTGAGGAAATCCAACCCTTGCTACCTCTTCTCTCAGCCCTGTCACCGCTGTGCTTTCAGGAGACAGCAGATTGAATGTCTGTGCAGTCCCCTTAGGCACAGGAATTCTCCAGGGCCCTGCCAGTAGAAATGAGCTGGCTCCTTGATGCACACTGACAAAGGCTGATGCTCCCCAGCATGGGCATCCAGTGCTGTCTCCTCTTGGACTCTGCTCCCCCCCCCCACCCCGCCTTGGGGGTGGCAGGGGGAACAAAGGAAGAAGTCCTTTGCTAAAATTACCCTCTTTCCCAAGGCCTCTCCCAAGGCCTCTCCTCCTATGTAAGAGGTAAAGCAGACGAGCTTTTGTTTATGTATTGCTTTTCCCCTTAAAGGGCCTGTGAGATCACAGGCTTTTTCTAATTTTTTTTTTTTTTCAGTGCTTCAGTTATTTTGTGCCTGGTGCTAGTTTTTGCACCAGGAGAGTTGGTGGCTCATCTGCTGGAAGGCGGGTGTGGTTAAACAAGGTGGAACTCTCCCTATAGGCAGACTCGGTATACCAATTTAAAATTAACTTCTGCTGAGGAATGGGGAAGACATTAATGTTAACCTTGACATGCTTAGAAAGGAGTAAGTTTTTCACTGTGATGCTTAAATGGCTTGAGTCTCGCTTCAGATCTGCAGCTTGCTTTGGAGAAAGTCCCCAGGGATTTGGAACGCAACGTATATGAGAGTTGGGGTGGATTGTGGGTCTACAAGGAAATCAGCTGATGCAAAGATTAGAGCAGTGATCATCCTGGACATTGCTATACACTGAAACATGGATCTAGAAGTATTTCCCTCCAAGATGTGGGCTCCCTGTCTCCTTTTCAAAGAGGAAAATCTGGGACTTCAGGCAGACTAAGCTCAGCCATTGCACCAACCAAAGATGCATTCCTCCTCCTTCTTTCACCTGGGGGTCCTAACAGACAAGAGGTTGAATGTGAGCTACCAGTGTGCCTTATGGCAAGGAAGGCCAACACATCCTGGGCTGCATTAGGAAGAGCGTACCCAGTAGCTTGAGGGAGGTGATCCTTTCCCTCCACTCAGCGCTGGTGAGGCCACATCTGGAGCACTGTGTCCAGTTCTGTGCTCCCCAGTACAAGATGGGCATATTGGAGTGAGCCCAGTGAAGGGCCACAAAGTGAGTAAGGAGTCATCTGTTATACAAGGAGATGCTGAGAGAGCTGGGACTGTTTAGCCTGGAGGAGAGAAGGCTGAGGGGGGATCTATCAGTGTGTGTGTGTATAAATACCTGATGAAGGGAGTAAAGAAGTGGAGCCAAATTCTTCTCAGTGGCACCTGGTGAAAGGATGGAAGGCAATGTGCTCAAAATGAAATACAGTGCATTCCACTTAAGCATACCATTAAAAAGTTTGTGGGTTTTTTGTTTTGTTATTTGGTTGTGTGGGGTTTGGGCGTGGGGATTTTTTTCCTCATTTGTTTCTCAAGGATGCAACAGGCTGCCCTGAGCAACGTGTTCTGATTGACCCTGCCTTGAGCAGGGGGGTTGTACTAGAATCCAACCTAAACGATTCTGTGATGACTTCCAGAGGTCCCTTCCAACCTCAACTGTTCAGTGATAGAGTGGTCCAAGCCAGCTGCTGCAAAAAACTCGAGTAGCTTGTCTGAACTTGACAATAACTGAACTTTTCACGAGCAGCGTAGCGAGGCTCTCTTAGCCCTTCCCGTAGCAAAATGGGAGGGTGACCGACAGGCAAGAGGGAAAGCAGGCAGGCCCAGCAGAGAACTGCAGCCCTGCTGTCAGCTGGCCTGGGGCAGCTAGCTGTGGGATGATCAAGGTAGAAGCCAGGAGGCTTTTGTTGGAGCCTGAGAGAAACGTGGGTGGGATGGGGCAATATAGTGGGAGTGCCGTGGGTACAGATGTGGTATTTTGTTCTCCTGGCAGTGCAAACTGTATGCCCTTCCAACTTGCAATGTAAAAGTTAATGACTGCGAACTAGAAATTGCCAAAAACCCACCTCCTTCCTGCCTATGTTGCCCTGTCCTTTCCTCTGTCTGCTAGTGGTTATCACTCAAGCCAGACTGATAGTTTTCTGGCCCTCTAGTCCTTCGTTTTTGCCTTTCCAACCTGCCACAGGATCCCTAGATGTCAGTCGTCATCTCCTTCTGCCTGGCTGTTAGCTCATCCCTTCTTCTCAGGATTGGGGTGGGAAACACTTTTCCCCCTTTCCGCAAGGCCTGACAGCCTTCCTGGCACCTCCTGGGAGGGAGGTTTTGAGACCTCTGGTTGCATTTCTCTGCTTGCCTTAGTGGTGTGTTAGGGTCCTGACACCTTTCGCTTTAATGCGTCTGGCCTTGGGGATCAATACTGCTGTTTTGGCCAAAGAAATAACTGTGCATAACGAGGTTTATAGCATCGATTCCCCAGGCTAGCTAGGGCTCTTTGTTTTCACAAGCCACCAAGCTTGCCCCTCCCTTCCAAATAACCTGGGCTGCCGAATAAAGTGCAAAAGAAATCGATAGTCGTCTCTGTGCTTTTCTGGCCTAGGGGCATCGATGTAACCTGAAAGACCTTCCTTTGCCCCGACCTCACCCTCTAGCAATCGGTGTGCTGCGTTCCCACGTTGTTGGGCTGGTTGGGAGTCTGCTGTCAGATGTATTGGTGTTGCACAGAGCGAATGGAAAAAGTTTCCAGTATGGGAGTGAGATGTAAAAGGGTTGGGGATTCTGGAGGTTGAGTGTGTTTGAGGTAGGGAGAGGAGCTCTAGATTGTTTTGGGTTGCTCAAAAACATGGGCAGATGGGGTATGTTTTTGTCAGCCCCCTCGAGGGTTGCCGTCTTCTATGCAAATGATTACCTGTAGTTTGTTGGCTTTTTTGAGATGAGATCCCGTGGCTAGTGAATGCTTCCCTTGATTGCCACTTGTTAGCCAGCTGATAGGAGTCTCTGGGAATCTGCCCTGGGCCAAGTGATATTTGCAGTTCTCTATCATCTTACTCCTGAGTTGTGCCCCTACCAGACTGGAAAAGGGCACATTTGTACTGCTGCACACTCCAGAAACTTTCTGCTCTATCTTGTATCACATGGCTCCAGGGGAACAGAGAAGCACAGTGTACAAGGCTGTTGGTATAGTGTACCCTCTTGCCAGATGTCTGCCCAGGGCAGTAGAAACTCGAGACAGATTCTGTCTGTAGCTGCTTTCAGCTGAAGATAACTTTCCTGCGTGCTGAGCCCAGCCTTTCTAGGAAGTGAAGAATGAAAGTTCTCATTGATTCATGCTATCCTTCACCCAGTCAGTAAAGGTGGGAAACTCCTCCCAAAAAGGAGGGACTAGGGGAAAGGCTTTCAAAGTCTTTGGCCTTGATTGCAATGTGTAAAGTTTTAAGGCAGTAATGGCACTTCTTAATTAAGACCAAACTTGGGATGCCACCCTGGAGAGTCAGCCACGCGCATATATGCAAACTTGCTTTTTCTCTCCTCTTTTTAGTACTACGTAAGCTATGTATCTTCCATTTTAGAAATACTACTCTCCTCATTGTTATCATTAAACAGGCTCTAGAAGAACACAAAAGCAAAACTGCAGCTCTGCCATTTGACATTATATACCAGCGTATTGGGTATCCAGCTGCACCCCAGAGCTTGTATGTGCCTGATGTTGTTCGTTTTGATGAGCGGTGTGCATGGCCTCTTCTCAGACTCTGGAAAGGGGTCAGTTTTTCCCATGTCCCTTGCTATAAAATGAAACGGGTCCATGGAGAATAACATGTGCTTATTCAAAGGCTGCTCAGGTGTAACTGATACGAGGGACTCCAGGGGGAAACGTGTTTGAACAGAAACTTTGCTTGGCAAGGGGTGTTTGTGAAAAGGACTTACTAGTCTCTCCACTGCCTGGGAGAATTCAGGCAGTCATTTCAGTGACAATAAAAGGATAATGGATTTGGTGTAAGCAACGCTTCGTCTTGCCATGGAAAAGCAACTCATCTTTAGGGACAGCTCCAAAATACACTCAAGCTTGTAGTACAGTCTTTCTGACTGTTAGAAGCATGGGTCTGCTGAGGAGCAAATCTTCAGTTTCTTGTACTGTTGCTTATGTTGTTTTTCTTTTGCCTCACACTTCTATAGCATCTTTCACCCTCAGGTCTCCAAAGCTTCAAGCGTGCTTTTTGTTTGCGCCTCAATTGTCCCTTGGTAGGGCATTAAGAAAGGCTGCGGAATAGCGATCAGAACAGGCAAACAGGAGTCAGGGTTTCTGGATTGTCTTCTTAACTCAGTTACCAGCTGCATGATCTTCATTGAGTCACTTGGCATCTGTGCTGTTTTGTGGTGTGCTCATCTTTAGACTCAATTTCTTCTGTTGCAGATTTTCCAGCAAGTGGATTTCAACAAGAAGCCGGGACGTATGAGCGCTAAGCCTATAAATTTCGCAGTAATCTTGAAGCTGTCTAATGCCAACTTGCAGGAGAAGGCCTTCCGAGTAAGTGGAACCCCAGCTGCCACCAGTGCACACCCTGAGCGCAGCTTCTCCATAAACAGCAGTTGTCTTAGTGATGGTTTTTGTGATGCTGTTCCATAGAGTTGGAGGCTTATTTCCCAACCTGGGAGGAGAAAGATTTAGTTCCTGATATCTCTGTTTCTGCTTCCCCAGAAAGATTTAGTTCCTGATATCTCTGTATCTCTGTTCTCCTGTTACTCAGGATGGGCTCATTGAACAGTTGTATGACCTGATACTTGAATATCTCCATTGCCAAGCCTACAGCATTGGATTCCCAGAGTTGGTTCTCCCCACTGTCATTCAGGTAAGGTGTAAGACAACTCTTGGGCATGTCATGAATGTGAGCAGGGTGGGATGAGGCCACTTAAATCAATGGTGAACTCTAGATGGTCCTCATAGTGTGAGGGGAGGGCCATCTGCCTTTTCCAAATATTTTTTTTTCTTTGCGTTTTGCGGTATTCTTGGGGAGGAGCAGAGGAATCGTGCCTAATAGAGGATGAAGCGTCTGTAGAGTTAGCCACTCACTTGGGAGACAAAGTGAGACAAAGGGCTGCTTAGCTGCTACAGAGATGCGTTTGTGACTAGCGAATGCAGAGGGGCTCTTGGCATTTTAGAGTTGTCCAAATCGGCGCGTTGTCTCCAAGTAGTACCTATGCTTTTCTTTACCTTATGGCCTCTCTCACATGATCTCCACAAGATGGCAATCTTCCCTGCCTTCGCAGTGTCTCCATCGGCTGGGGCATTTTCCCTAAGTCTTTCCGCACAAAACACCATAGTTCCTGTCTCTGTCCTTCCTCCTCACTGCACCTAACAGCTGTGCTGTGAAGTAGTGCCCTTTCCCTCTCCCCTGGCGTTCCTTTTTGCAGGGTGTTCTTCCTAGCTACTGTCATGTTTGCATACTTCATTGCATACTTCATTGTACACAACAGCACTGTCTAATAGTCAGTGCTGTGCATCCGGGTGTATAGTACGTAATCCTTCCCTAATACCTCATTAGCTGGGTGGCTCCAGTTTTGAACGGGCTGTGACCTCTCTGGTTTGAGCAGTGAGGTTGCAGTGCAAACATGTTGGAACTTGCTCCCTTCTTTCCTCCCAGTCCTCTCTCTTTTTAACTCATGAGTGGCAGGTGTCATACGAGTTTGGCAAAGGGTTGCTGCTGTATCCTGCTTAGGCACACGCACCCCGGCTTTGCTTTGGTGCCATGAGCCAGCGTGTCTGCATACCTTGTTGCTATGATGCCTCTGGTTGACATGGGAGCAATGTCTTGGTTGGGGCCCACAGGCTGCTTGGGAGGCAACTCTGCTTGTTCCTGCCTACTGTTGTAGGCTGGCATCTGTCAGGCGCGTGACTCTTGGCTGGGTCCCTGCAGCCTGGCACAGGCCTTTGCCAAGCTGGCTGCCTTGGCTAATGTGAGCTGACAAGCACTTTCTGTGCTAGGCGAGCAGCTCCTGTGCTTGCTCTCGTTTTGCGTGCTTCTCGCTTATCGGTAGTGAACAAAGCCTTTTCCTCTCAGCCAGCAGCTGTTGAGAGCGTCGAAGCTGTCGGAGCCGATGTTCTAGCTGGAATGAAACGCGTCTGACGGCCCTCTGGCACCGAGCTCCCTGTGGCTTCCAAACGCACCCTGGGACCAGCCTGTATTTCTGCAGAGAATTAGTGCTATCGGGTTGCTATTTGGCTGCCACTAACCACAGCCTCGTGGCGTCTGCTGGGCCGGGGTGCTGAGGTTAGCTTCCCAAAAGCTCAAAGTCTTCGGGAAAGTGTGTGGGGGAAGGCTTTTCCCCTGGAATGGTTCCAGTTAACTATAAAAATCCATCTGTCCTGATTCTTCCCCTCCCGATGAGCTCACGCTTCTCTCGATGCCGTGTTGTAAGGGCTGGATTCCAGCTGGCGAGGGGTGCGTTCCTCATCTTCTGGTCAGCGGCTTTGGGAGAATCTAGGCTGAACTGACTTCAAACTGAACTCTAAAACCTCCTTGCCTGGAAGGCAGGAAGCACCAGGGCAGATCAAAGGAAAGCAGAGCCAGTAGGGGAGGGAGACAGTTCAAAGGCTTCTGTTCTGCCCAGCCGTCTGGGACGACCCCTGGGCGGCAGCTGCCTCCACAGGCTGCTGAGGAGCTCAGAGTGCAGAACCCATGCGTCTGGATGCTGAGAGGAGGCGGCTTCTTCCCTCTCCCAAGCCCTAATAGGCATCACAGAGCAGAGGTGGAAGGTTAAAGGGGAAAGCTTGGCAAGCACAGATAAGGGATAGGTACTGCTGGATATAAGCAGGGGATGGCCCAACCCAAGCATGACTCGCAGCTAGGCAGAAGGGCAAGAGGTGCCGATGTTTCCTGCCGGCAGCCGCTCCTGCTGCTGGGCTCTCTCTGCTCCGGGTGGAATACTCCCTCTGCTTTCCGTGAGTGGAGGATTGGGGTTGATTTAGGTTCCCTGGAACACACAAGCCCAGCTGCTTCAAATCATTTATAGCTCCCTGCGTCGTTTACAGTAAGAGGAGCTGGGTTTTTGCTGTGGTCTCTGCTGGTATAAACCATTGGTGTTTAAGGCTGGCAGGTCAACAGAATCAGTCCCGCTAATCACAGAGCTGCTTCGCTAGGAACTGACACTGGATATTCTCTCTCTTCCCCCCCCCCCCCCCTCCCTCTCTCTCTCTCCCACACACACCCCCACAAA